GCAAAAAGCATGTGAATACATAACATATTGCGTTTGAGTCGAAGCAACCTCGGCCGACTTCGAAGACGTCGGCCGCCCCAAGCATCACGAATCTGATTTGATTACAACGATATTTGGAGGCGGCCGATGTCTTCCAAGATGACCATGGCCACTTTTGTAGGTGCTCTGTATCCCTACTCATAACAGCATAAACCAAAGTGAAATGGAAAATTAGCTAGCAGCATCAACTAGTGCAATAGTGTATTTGGCCAGTGCAATTTTAAACTTTTTTTAGGAATTTAGATTTTGGCCAACGTACATCAAGTATTTTCTTGCAGTTTATCATGTTGGCTAAACCCCGAGAATATAAAAAGCGTATTGCTTGCTAGTCGAGTCTATCTCGGCCGACTTCGAAGACGTCGGCCGCACCAATTCCAAAGTATTATGCATCAGGATTTTCATGGTTCTTCTTGCAGTTTAGATCTCGATAATACCAAAAGTTTGTGAATCCTAATACATAGCGTATTGTGTTAGTTGAGCTTATCTCGATTAAAACGGACGTAAGAAGTAGTCTCCAAGTGCTAGCAAACTCGACCAGTAGAGCTATAACGAATCGATATTAAGTTGAAGTGGACTGCGCATTTTATTACGTACCGTTCGAAAAATAAAAAAATGACTGTTAGAGCTTGATCAAATATTTAAAGGATTTATTAACGTAGAGAATATTTTATGATCAAATCTGACTTCCCGCTGGTTATTATTTCGGCACCTCGTGGATGAGACAGAGTATGAATGCGGCCAGTATCATGAACATCAAGACCACGAAAAATCTGATTGCTATGGTTCTAGTTTCGTACGTTGTTTGTACTTCAATTCATACCGGCATAATTGAAAGTAAATGAGCCAATCACCCAGTTTTATAGTGAGTTTAGAATTTGGCCAGTGTACATCCAGACGTTTTCATGCTGTTTATAAGGTTGGTTAGACCTCGCGAATGCAAAAAGCATGTGAATACATAACATATTGCGTTTGAGTCGAAGCAACCTCGGCCGACTTCGAAGACGTCGGTCGTCCCAAGCATCACGAATCTGATTTGATTACAACAATATTTGGAGGCGGCCGATGTCTTCCAAGATGACCATGGCCACTTTTGTAGGTGCTCTGTATCCTTACTCATACCAGCATAAACCAAAGTGGAAACCAAAATGGAAAATCAGCTAGAATCATCAACTAGTGCAATAGTGTATTTGGCCAGTGCAATTTTAAACTTTTTTTAGGAATTTAGAATTTGGCCAACGTACATCAAGCATTTTCTTGCAGTTTATAATGTTGGCTAAACCTCGAGAATACAAAAAGCGTATTGCTTGCTAGTCGAGTCTATCTCGGCCGACTTCGAAGACGTCGGCCGCACCAATTCCAAAGTATTGTACCTCAGGATTTCCATGGTTCTTCTTGCAGTTTAGATCTCGATAATACCAAAAGTTTGTGAATCCTAATACATAGCGTATTGTGTTAGTTGAGTTTATCTCGCTTAAAACGGACGTAAGAAGTAATCTCGGCCGCTCCAAGTGCATGAACATTAAGACCACGAAAGATCTGGTTGCTATGGTTCTAGTTTCGTACGTTGTTTGTACTTCAACTCATACCCGCATAATTGTAAGTAAATGAGCCAATCACCCAATCTTATAGTGAGTTTAGAATTTGGCCAGTGTACATCCAGATGTTTTCATGCTGTTTATAAGGTTGGTTAGACCTCGAGAATGCAAAAAGCATGTGAATACATAACATATTGCGTTTGAGTCGAAGCAACCTCGGCCGACTTCGAAGACGTCGGCCGCCCCAAGCATCACGAATCTGATTTGATTACAACGATATTTGGAGGCGGCCGATGTCTTCCAAGATGACCATGGCCACTTTTGTAGGTGCTCTGTATCCTTACTCATACCAGCATAAACCAAAGTGGAAACCAAAATGGAAAATCAGCTAGAATCATCAACTAGTGCAATAGTGTATTTGGCCAGTGCAATTTTAAACTTTTTTTAGGAATTTAGAATTTGGCCAACGTACATCAAGCATTTTCTTGCAGTTTATAGTGTTGGCTAAACCTCGAGAATACAAAAAGCGTATTGCTTGCTAGTCGAGTCTACCTCGGCCGACTTCGAAGACGTCGGCCGCACCAATTCCAAAGTATTATGCATCAGGATTTCCATGGTTCTTCTTGCAGTTTAGATCTCGATAATACCAAAAGTTTGTCTATCCTAATACATAGCGTATTGTGTTAGTTGAGCTTATCTCGCTTAAAACGGACGTAAGAAGTGGTCTCCAAGTGCATGAACATTAAGACCACGAGATGTTACATGCTTTTTTTTTATTTGGAGGTGGCCGTTTTATTCGAAAAAGGTCGTGATCGCTTTCGTACGTGGTTTGTATCCCAACTCATACCGACATAAATAAAAGTGAAATGGAAGATTGGCTAGCAAACTCGACCAGTAGAGCTATAACGAATCGATATTTAGTTGAAGTGGATTGCGCATCTTATTACGTACCGTTCGAAAAATAAAAAAATGGCTGTTAGAGTTTGATCAAATATTTAAAGGATTTATTAACGTAGAAGAATATTTTATGATCAAATCTGACTTCCCGCTGGTTATTATTTCGGCAGCTCGTGGATGAGACAGAGTATGAATGCGGCCAGTATCGTGAACATTAAGACCACGAAAAATCTGGTTGCTATGGTTCTAGTTTCGTACGTTGTTTGTACTTCAACTCATACCGGCAGAATTGAAAGTAAATGAGCCAATCACCCAGTCCAATAGTGGGTTTAGAATTTGGCCAGTGTACATCCAGACGTTTTCATGCTGTTTATAAGATTGGCTAGACCTCGAGAATGCATAAAGCATGTGAATACATAACATATTGCATTTGAGTCGAAGCAACCTCCGCCGACTTCGAAGACGTCGGCCGCTCCAAGCATCACGAATCTGATTTGATTACAACGATATTTGGAGGCGGCCGATGTCTTCCAAGATGACCATGGCCACTTTTGTAGCTGCTCTGTATCCCTACTCACACCAGCATAAACCAAAGTGAAATGGAAAATTAACTAGCATCATCAACTACTGCAATAGTGTATTTGGCCAGTGCAATTTTAAACTCTTTTTAGGAATTTAGAATTTGGCCAACGTACATCAAGCATTTTCTTGCAGTTTATAATGTTGGCTAAACCTCGAGAATACAAAAAGCGTATTGCTTGCTAGTCGAGTCTATCTCGGCCGACTTCGAAGACGTCGGCCGCACCAATTCCAAAGTATTATGCATCAGGATTTTCATGGTTCTTCTTGCAGTTTAGATCTCGATAATACCAAAAGTTTGTGAATCCTAATACATAACGTGTTGTGTTAGTTGAGCTTATCTGGCTTAAAACGGACGTAAGAAGTAGTCTCGGCCGACTTCGAAGACGTCGGCCGTTCCAAGTGCATGAACATTAAGACCACGAAAAATCTGGTTGCTATGGTTCTAGTTTCGTACGTTGTTTGTATTTCAACTCATACCGGCAGAATTGAAAGTAAATGAGCCAATCACCCAGTCCAATAGTGAGTTTAGAATTTGGCCAGTGTGCATCCAGACGTTTTCATGCTGTTTATAAGGTTGGCTAGACCTCGAGAATGCAAAAAGCATGTGAATACATAACATATTGCGTTTGAGTCGAAGCAACCTCGGCCGACTTCGAAGACGTCGGCCGCCCCAAGCATCACGAATCTGATTTGATTACAACGATATTTGGAGGCGGCCGATGTCTTCCAAGATGACCATGGCCACTTTTGTAGCTGCTCTGTATCCCTACTCACACCAGCATAAACCAAAGTGAAATGCAAAATTAGCTAGAATCATCAACTACTGCAATAGTGTATTTGGCCAATGCAATTTTAAACTTTTTTTAGGAATTTATAATTTGGCCAACGTACATCAAGCATTTTCTTGCAGTTTATAATGTTGGCTAAACCTCGAGAATACAAAAAGCGTATTGCTTGTTAATTGAGTCCAAAGTATTATGCCTCAGGATTTCCATGGTTCTTCTTGCAGTTTAGTTCTCGATAATACCAAAAGTTTGTGAATCCTAATACATAGCGTATTGTGTTAGTTGAGCTTATCTCGATTAAAACGGACGTAAGAAGTAGTCTCCAAGTGCTAGCAAACTCGACCAGTAGAGCTATAACGAATCGATATTTAGTTGAGGTGGATTGCGCATCTTATTACGTACCGTTCGAAAAATAAAAAAAATGACTGGAAAAGTTTGATCAAAGATTTAAAGGATTTATTGAGGTTATAATCAAATCTGATTTCCCCATGTAAATTCTTTCGTCCCAGTGGAAGCGAAATCTCTGGTATATAAATTGCAAATAAACAGCACTCTATAAACTGAAAAATAATTTCAGCGGATTGCGGTTAATTCGGCCTTGGCATTCAAAATCCTATTTGGAAATTTGCATATATTAGCAGGTAAAATTATTGCCTGGGTAATCATCCCATTTAAATTCAGGATTTTTTCAGGTATATTGCTCCGTTTCCGTTTTCATATATCGATAATTATTTCGTTCCTAACTAGTTTAATACCCATTTATCACATTCGACCATAAGCATAATATTCTAGTTGTAATAAAAGTTTAGTAAAATATATATACATTTAAAGCTTTTTAAGACTAGACTTCTAGTAACAAGTTTTTTTAATACTGTTCGTTTCGCCAATACCTAGAAAAATGTAGAAAGCTATACCAAAATAAATAATATTTATTTGAATAAAGTTCAGATTGCGAGCTTTAAAGTGAACTTTATAAGTCTAAAATACACGTAATTTGGCAAATTGCTTCTTTTATTGTTTTTTAGTTGACTTCTACTAAGAAACTTTTATGTATACAGAAAAGGGAAACGTTCAATTTTTTTTTATTAATTTATTTTGTTTTGCAAGGTTTTCAACGAATAATTAATTTTTAATGCCGTTTCAAATATTTTGTAGTTATTTATTTCTTTTTCGTAGGAAGAAATATTCGATGTCGGCTTATCGAATTTAAAAGATTTAAACGAAACCTATCGATTTAAACCTCATCTAATAAAATGGACCTTGCGACGAACGTACATAAGGTTGAAGCGAGCAGATTTAACTCAGGGAGCTTTCCTCCACGCTAGGACTTGGAAGTCCCGTGGGGTCACCGTTCAGATGTTTTTGTCCATGTTTAGGGGGCGGCGATCTTGAATTGCTGGTCATCGATTGTACGGTCTGCGAGCGGGGTCCGGCAAATCTCATGCTGTACACCGGCCTGTCTTGACCATGTGTCTAAACAACATGTGCAGAAATCCATTGAATCATCCAATTTACTAAATTTTTTGATAACAAATCATCTTCAGATCTAATCCAATCTTAAAAATTATTTGTGTGGAGCTTGCCAACAATTTTGCTGACTCACTACACTGAAAGAAATGGATGCACTAAAAATATACTATAAGGTAATATAATATTTAATACGCATAATACGATTTCTCTCAGTGTAGCTAAAAGGTGGTCTTTTCTGCATGATGATTTATTACCCAAAATATTTTTAACTATTTCTAATAAATAAATTAATTATCGAAAATGGTTGACCCAATTTAATATTAACACATCTTGCGCGAGCACTTTCCCGCCAAACTCTTACCGCCATGTAAAACGAGTTAGTCGTTTCCCGCTAAAAACGTGAAATCCGCTCAAAACGAGTTTAGTCGCTTCCCGCGCAAGATGTGTTAACACTAAATTAAGTAAGATCAATCATTTATCGTGTTACTATTACTAATTACCTTGGTGACTTGATTTCCATTTCCTTGTCTTACATTTTTATACGGTTGAAATAGTACTAAGTAGACTTTGGGAGTAAATAGACAGCCGAGGGCGACGGTAGCGCTAATGTTTAGACACATGCACATGCTGACGATTTGAATCTGGTTTATAAATTATAATGTTAATTTAATTTAATTAATTAATAATTAATTTGGAATGAAATGATTTTGAGGTTGAAGATGAAAATAAATGAAAACAAACGTTATGATCATATTACGACGTAAACGTTGGGAGTTAACGAGGAATAGATTCGTTTTTGGCCGTATCGAAAAGTTCGTTTACATAAATTTCGGGGCTAATGTCGTCGGTCTGGTCATCGTTAAACATTTAGTACCGAATTTATCGCCGAAAGTAATGATTTTCATTTAAAAAGTAAGTCTTACCTTATAATCATTGTTCGTTCCAAAGTAGATGGGTAAGAAAGCCAGCCAAACGATGCAAGTAGAGTACATAGTGAATCCAATGTATTTAGCTTCGTTGAAATTTTCTGGGATTTTTCGGGTCTTGAACGCGTACCAAGTGCACAAGATTATTAGGATCATGTTGTAAACGAGCGACATAATCAAAGCGAAAGTAGATACTCTGCAGGTCAATACAGCAGTTAATGGGTAAGGGTAAATCTCTCGAATATCCGGACGGTCAATTACCAACCAAACCATGGCGCCGATTAGTTGAATGGAGACGATGCCTAAACAAGAATTTTATTAACCCAACTCTTTAAGCAATTAATCTCCTCATGGTTATCAACTGGACTGAGTGCTCGACGAATAAAGTGATGGCAGTGGGGTATGCAACTAACTAACTGTCTAAAAACCATTCCAATAGTCTTCGACAGCATCAAAACACCAATACTACTTAAAACAATATTGATATATGATATATCTAATCTCCGAAATTCATATTACACGAGAATTCACCCGAGTAATGCGGCTCGAGGTGGAAGTGCAATTATTATTAAAAGGAATGTGGACCACTATTTGAACAATACAATTAGTACTGAACAACACCAAACTGTGGTAAAAGTTCAAACTGCTAATGGCTTAATATCTATGGGAGCAACGTACATACCACCGAGACATAATCTCAATAGATTCTACTACATCTTGACAACAAATTTGTACTTGGAGGAGACTTTAATGGAAAACATATGTCTTGGGTTCTCACCAGCGAGAGGCCCTAAATTGTGAGGTGCTATGACCTAATTAATGGAGAAACATTAATTAAAGAAAGTTAATAATAATAACAATACAGGGTTATTATAAATGATGGACCCATTTTTAAAGATGAATATTTATTAAAACACAGATCCAAAATGAACAATCTTTATACCAATGGAAAGAGGAAATTTCAAAGTTTTTTTGCAATGTCTGATATCATCCGTTCGTTTCCTCTCTGTAAAAATACTAAGTAGAAAAGAAGGCGATTGGGGTATGTCGCACCATAGCGATAAATAAACATAATTTTATTATTCATCTTTTTGTCTTCGTCAAAAGTGAGTGAGATGGCTACCGTGGAGCACAAGGTTTTCTGCGTTCTTGAGTTCGCAAGAAGTGAGTCACAAATTGTAGTGCAGCGGGCATTTCGTACAAAATTTGGTACATTTTGTTGCATTTGCCATTGCAACACGAAAGAGACTCACCGAAAGTAAACGTGTTCTGTGCCGCATCTCGTACAAAGGTTTCTCCAGGACCATTTTTCTTTGCGGAAAGATCTGTAACTGGAACAACGTACTTACATGTTGGAATAATGGCTGTTTCCTCAAGTTATGGAAGATTCACAGGACTTCATTTTCCAACAGGACGCAGCTCCGCCCCATTGGCACCTTCATGTACGAGGCTTTGTGAATGCAGCCCTTCCTCAACGCTGGATAGGTCGCAGGCACTTTTGGCCACCTAGATCTCCTGATCTCACTCCATGTGACTACTTCTTATGGGGTTATGTTAAGGAAACTGTTTACGTCCCACCTCTACCAACAACTCTGGACGATCTGCGGAACCGTATCACAGCTGCTGTGCACTCAGTAACAGTCGATACACTTGCTCGTGTGTGGGACGAGTTCGACTACCGCATAGATGTTTGCCCTGCAGCGGACGGTGGACACATTGAACAATTATAGTGTATTGCACAAAAACTTTGAAACTTCCTCTTTCCATTGGTGTAAAGATTGTTCATTTTGGATCTGTACTTTAATAAATATTCATCTTTAAAAATGGTCCCATCATTTATAATAACCCTGTATTATTTATGGCACCACCCACATACTTTACATATTTAACATTAAAAAAAATTTACTGCGTTTGGCTCGTAACATAGTCACGACCCACTCCTCCACGCAGCCCAGAAAAAGAAAAAAAACTTCTTTCAAAGAATGTAGATAGATAACAATATAGCCAGAACCACTAATTGATCAATTTGAACACATCGAACATTGCCACACCTAACGAACCCACCCTCACCGCAGCTCAGATAAATATTTTTATCTACAACTATTGAATTATCTATTCGTTATACATTTAATTTTTGACGGGTAGTAACACGCATTACTCATGACTGACAAAGTGTTGAATAATGAAGCCATTATTCCACAGTTCTGACATGACCTACTAATCAAAAAATAAAATATTAACAGAAATGACAGCTATCTTATATTGAGGTTATGTCTGAAATGTCTATCAAGTTTTTTTTCTTTTTTTGATTTTTTTTTCAAAATTAAATAGTTGTAGATAAAGTATAGTATTCAACTTGCGTATAATGGATGTTACCCACTCAGATTGCAACTTCATCTTCGTGGGTAACAGCCGCCATTATACGCTTGTTGAATAATATACTATATGACGACCTTTTTAGATTCATATCTCGACTTAAAACAAAAGCAACGATTAAGATCAATGAAATACTTTGTAACATTGCATGAAAATGATTTCTTAAATAGTTGAGTTGCAACCTGACCCCTGAATCGAGTACCGAGATTGTGAATATCAGTTCTGTAAGTTATACGACAGTACAGGTTGGAGTGCCAAGCCACCACACTATGAAAAAACAAAGTGGTATGTAAAAACCTTCTCTTCCACATATTTAGCCAATTGGCGGCTTCTAACATATGAGAAACATGCTGACGACGTTTAATACAGAGATAAATCGTAAGCAACTATTCTGCACTCTTTGAATTCTACCAGCACTAACTTGATCTATAAACGAATGATAAAGTGCATCACAGTAATTAAAATGTGATAGTAACATAACAATTTTCTAAGTTTGACTTTCTAAGTTAAACTGGAAAAAGCCCTTCTGACCAGGCAGGACACAAACTTCCTCAATCTTAATTCTGAATCTATCCAGACTCCCAAATACCTGGTTGAATCCTGATATATCACCTCAGCCCCCCCAATAAGCAATCCCAGATCCCGCTGCGCAGCCAGTTTATTTGTTCCATTCGCAAAGACCAAACCAACAGTTTGTTTAATTATCCGCAAAGCGGAGAATCCCGCTCAGGTCCTGATTAATTTGACTAGAAGCTAACGCAACATCCGATGACTTAAAGGAATAATATATCTGTGTATCATAGCGATGATAGAGACAAGTACTAATGTATTTTTGAATATTCAGTGTATATATCGAGTACAGCAGTAGACCAAGCACTGAGCCTTGGGGCAACAAACAACACACTCTGTGTTCGCTTTCGCAAATAATTATCCATTAACTGAGCACCACACCAGCTCATCCCAACATAATGAAGCATACACAACAGCAACCTATGATCGATCACATCAAAAGCCTTTGAAAAATCCAAAAGTATCCCTAACGTTTGCCAGCGCAGTGGCTCAAGTGTAGCCAGATCTAAAATCTGATTGCAAATCGGGCAAGATTTCAAACTGATTTAGATAACCCGTAGACAGAACCGGAAGAACCGATACGGGTCTAATATCATTTAAAGTGTGGGGACCAGATTTTTTGGGTAATGGTACAACCAGCGAACATTTCTATTTATCTGGAAATACCGATTCAATTATTCATGAATTAATCACGTGTATGTAGAGCAGTAAAACATAGTTTAATCATTTGTAAGCTCATACCGTCAGACCCCACAGAATTAGTTTTAATAGTCAGTAAAGCCTTCATTACATCACTCTCTTCAACTGCAGAAAAATTCATAGCTAAGTCGCCGAACACACCACAAACAAAATTTGAAGTGTAGTAGTTATAAATTTCGTCTGGCGGAAATGCGAGTTGTATCAGCACTAATTGTCTGATCAGATAAATTGACTGACATGTTCTTTCTAAAAATTCTCAAATTTTTCAAAGTAGATGCGATATACACTAACTTTAGCAAAGCTTTTGACAAAGTGGATCACTGTTTATTACTGTTGAAGTTGGAGCGCGTTGGTGTCGCAGGTGTCCTTTTGAGCTGGTTTGCTTCGTACCTCTCCAATCGCACGCAGGTGGTTGGGGTTGGTGGATATTCGTCCGGTTTTGCTATCATGTCTTCCGGAGTGCCTCAGGGTAGTCATCACCAAGTCTTTTCTTACCTCAAGATGTCTTATGTATGCTGACGACATTAAAATATTTGCTGCTGTTTCAGACTGCGTTAACCTTCAGAATGACCTGAACAGATTTTATGATTTTTGTGAGATTAATAATTTGTCACTTAACATATCGAACTATCAGACCCTTATTTTTACGAGAAAAAAGCTGTTAATTAAATTTGATTACCGGTGCGGAACATGCTTACTGGATCGTGTTGACACACTATTAAAGACAAATTACTGTTTGATAAACACGTTGATGCAGTGGTGGCCAGAGCTAATAGAATGCTGGGATTTGTAATCGTTTTGCAGCACTAGACCTACTTTCGTCGCTCGGCAGTACAGCTTGGAACCCCCAGTATGACGCATACATTAACAGAATAGAGAGGATTCGGATAAGGTTGTCTGAAGTATCTCTCGTATAAATTCCGGCATCCTTATACAGATTACCAATCTGCCTGTCTAATGTATCATATGCCCACACTTCAGCAGCGCAGAACTTGCAGTGATGCCAACTATGATTTTTCCTATCTTCTTTCACGCATTGATCTGCATGTTCCCCCTCGTTGGATGCGCTGTGAGTTTCTGCTTTATGCGCCGACTGCCCGGAAAAATTCGTATAAAAATTCAAACAAATTTTTCGTAATGCCGTGCTCGCCCTACCAGTTGTGTGATTTTAAGTAGATTATCTCGTTGCAGCGGCTTAAGTTCTGCCTTGAAATGGATTGATCACATATGCTTAAGGTCATTAATTGATCGATTCTCAATTTTGTGTGAATATTAACAAAAAAGTTTCCTGGAAGTCTAAGTGGTTGACCGTATACAAGTTCGGCAGATGAACAACCTAGGTCTACCTTAAGAGATGCTCTGAGGCCTAGGAGAATCAAAGGAAGATCATTGTTCCACCTCGTAGTGTTACCTCTGGCAGTTATGGCTGTTTTTAAAGAACGGTGAAACCTTTCTAAAATTCCGTTTCTTTGGGGATGGAAGGTGAATGTATGAATTTGACGTGTTCCTAGAAGGGTGTCAAATTTTGAAAAGAGTTTTGATTCGAATTGTCGTCCCTGGTCATGGGTTATAGTGCAAGGAATGCCAAAGAATGCCGAAACAAAGTATCCGCAATAGAAGTAGAACTAATATCTTTGAGAGGAAAAGTTTCTGGCCAACGCGTGAAACGATCTATTACGGTGAGCACATATGTGCAACCAAGGGACGGAGTGAAAGGATACCAGAATGTGTTAATTTGTGAATTTAGAGAATCAATATTTGTTCTGGACAACGTGTCCGCTACAATGTTTGATTCTCCTGTAATGTACCTGATATCTGATGTGAATTGTGTTATGTAACTAAGATATCGTGTCTGACGTGGAGTTTTTTCTGTGTTGATTAGAGGTTAACCACAAATTGATGTCCATGTAAAAAATGTTTAAAGAATTTGATATTAGTGTAAATTGCTAACAATTCTCTATCAAAAGTTGAATAATTTATTTGGCTTGAAGATAATTTGTCTGGCGTCAGTGAAAGAGTTGCTTGTGGTGATGGGTGCGCAAGAATGGCGGATTTTGATAAAAGTTCTTTGGCTGTAGTGAAAGAAATGGTGTGTCCAAGAAGTGATTGATTTAAGTTTTTGTGATAAAAATTTATCATTCCTAAGAATCGCTGCAATTGTTTTAGTGTGGTTGGTTTTGGAAATTCAGTTATGGCATTAACCTTAGATTGCGAAGGGCGAACGCCTTCAGCAGAAATTTGATGACTTAGGAAATTTAAATCTGTAACTCCAAAAACACATTTTGTTGGTTGTATATTAATATTACAAGAGCTTAACCTCTCAAACAATTGTTGTAAATGAAGATAATTTTCTTCTTCATTGCAGCTGGCTACTAGAATATCATCTAGATATACGAATAGGAAATCTAAGCCAGATAGAACTTCGTTTATGAACATTTAAACCGAAAGGCGTTTTGGTAGTGATAGCCGTTTTAGGAATATCGTTTTCTTCTACAGAAATTTGGTGATAAGCTCGTACCAGATCTAATTTTGAAAAAATTTTGCAATTGTGTCTGGTACTTATCTGGTACTGTGATGTTGTTGAGCTGTTGGTAGTCTCCACATGGTCTCCAATCGTTGGAATCTTTCTTAGGAACCATGTGAAGAGGAGACGCTGTAGAAGAAGAAGAGGGTCGGCAGATTCCTAATGCCACCATCTGTTCGAATTCTTTTTTTGCAATGTTGTGTTTTTGTCGGGGACGACAAAACGGTAAGTGTGAGTTGGTAACTCTTCTGTGTCGAGTGTTATGTCCAACTGGTTTTGTAAAGTCCGGTGTAGACGTTAATTTTGGAAAATTTTTCAAAAGTGTTGTATATTTGGTTTTAAAAGAAAAAATTTTTGGAGTTGGAATAGTATTTTTGACAATGGAACCGATTGAAAACAAATTGGTTTTCGAATCTACCAATCGCTTCTTTTTTATATCCACCAAGATACCAAATGCATGAAGGAAATCCGCACCAATGGGTTTACTAACAGCTATGGTAAATACGAATGGGAAATTCCTTCTTAGATTTAATGAAATTGTCGGCAATGGAAAGAATGTCTACAACGTCCTCTTTGCCAGAAGCGAGGAGTGGATTTGCCACAATTTTAATAATAAATTTGGACTAACCACCTGAGAACCACCAACCGTGGTCAACATCGCTCTGGTTTGATTAATTTTTTTTAATTCCTCTTTATATTAGCTTTATCCACTACTAATGACCTTACCCACCGGCACACGACTGTAAACAAAACATTTGGAATCTTGATGGTTGCGGGACTGGGCTGGTGCATGTTCTAACTAATTAAGAAACGTGGTTTTTGTTTGTACATGTCATGTGCACAGCATGCTACATCATGCACTGAAATGTAAGCAGGTCAGAAAATTGCATAGCAGAAGGGTATTTTCACTGTTGGTTGCCTAACCTATTGGCATCACTCTTTTACACGAGAACTATGCGGATCACTCATTCCAATTGATAACCATGTCACTGTTAATCTCTTTTACCTAAAGCAATTGCAACTTGAGATATGGGCGAAGTGTAAACAGGTCTCTTAATGCTTTTAACTCCTCGATTGAAAATCCTGGAGATGCGGTTGGTTTTGGTGAAAATAGCACTGTAACAGACGCTTAAACACAACCCTAGACCAACTCTCATAATAGCGCAAGTTTCCACTGTGGGGGTAGCAAGAATAATGAAAGACATAGCGTAACAGCTGAGAACCCCGCAAAGAAGAACGTAGCAAAGTTCTCGCCCGGAAGCCATGATCACCGGAGTTTTGTTGTAGCGGATAAATACGCACGTTGTGAACAACGTCAACAGAATTCCGATGGAACTAAATACTAGAGGAACAAGCGCCCACGGATTTAGCCAATCGATGACCAAGGCCTTCAGCTTGACGCAGTCGGTTTTGTTCTGGTTTGGGGCGAATCCGGGACCGCACGGTCTGCAAGTGTCGTTGAATACGTACGAATCCTCCCGACAGGCCACGCAAACCCAGCAGCATTGATCCTAAATGAAACGGACGCGTTATATAGGGACCTATATATCGCTATTGAATATTAACGTCCTAACCTGGTAATTTCTAATGTGTCCGGACGGACATTGTTCACTACAAATCGATTTTGGAATTGATTCGGTGTCGGTCCATCTCAAACGGGTTATATCCAAATATAAACTGTAATTAATATAATATGTAATAATGAAAATTGATAGTGTGTTAATTAATCGTCATCATTGCAAGTATGCAACCAATATCACAGTATTTTTATTGCAATACGCGATTTGCGTATGATGCGTATTGCACTGTGATATTGGTTGCATACTTGCAATGATGACGATAATTAATTAATTAATATTTATTAATTATTTAATTTATTAATACACTAATTCCACTTCCAACGAACCCATCCAATGGCCGTGAGAAATTTATCCATGTAGAACCCGAAATTAATCTTTGGATTAATGGAATTATACAAGTATACAAGTGAATTAAATTGCAAATCAACCGAATCCATATGTAAACGTGCATCTAATATCCGTACTAGTAGTGTAATGTTATCTGTTGTGCTATACATTACTGCGTCGACGGCATGGCGTCGTTAGCGTTGGAATGGATAATATCACAAATTACGCGACAAAGCGGTTACAAAACCCTTGTGCTGGAATGTTACAACGGCTAATTGATGTTAATTATTCTTTTTGTGCGTGCCTTTTTTTTATTGGTTACTCACAATTCTTTCCACGATCCTATTTGGATGTAATCGTACTTTCCATCATGCAGTTGGTACTGATAGATGTTATAACTCCCGTAGGCGTCACCGTCCGTATTGAATTTTACTTCCGTTCCTTGACGACCTTAAAATTTTAATCGATAATGGGGAGAAATAATAATATCACAAATTAATAAGTTAAACACAAATTACATTTAACACCAATAATACTTCATTTAGTGAAGAATTGACGAAAAATATAGAAGCAAATAATACCGACAATTTATTACCGGCAATAAACATCGAACAAAATTCTTCTAAAGCCTTTTGCTCTATTTTTCGACGATAAACGAGTCGATATAAAGCGTTTCGCGTTATTAATGTATTTGTGTTTATTGTCGGGCTTCCGTTCGAATCGATCTTCTGCCGCTCCAAGAAACCCGAACATCGTCTTGTTTCCATAGAAATATGAGCAAGACTGATGTCATCTAACGTAATACCAAACGGCAACTTGCTTCTACTAATACCCTAATACGTAAAATCCATACTTATATTTATTATTTATTTATATTATACCGGGTGAGGCATTTAAATTGAGACCAAAAGTTACAAATAAAACTTTCATCATATGAAGGGGGAAAATATTTTGCATGGGTATAAGCACCTTTTGGCAAAAATTGAGATATGTTTGGTTCTGAATAAGTAAATATCACGTATAGTGATGGAACATTATGGTTATAATTTCTGGTGCATTTCTGAAGTGATACCCTATATTGCCACATCATTGCGATATTTGAATTTATTTGGATCTTCAAGTTATTTTCGCAAAAACTAAAAGTTGCAAACTTTGAAAGAATTGTTGATTATTTAAAAAAATTTATTTCTCGAGAACTAAAAGTGATTTTTCAAAACGGCATTTTGCATTAAAAAGAGGATACTATAATTAATAATTGGTGATATTTCCATAAGGATCTGTCAAGAAATTAATTTTATACCGAATTTTGAAAGTTATCGATGAAAATTGCAATTATCAAAACTTCAAATATTGTTTTCTCAAAAACTGAAAGTTATTTTTCAAAACGGGTTGGTTCATTGGAAAGAGGACACTTTTATTAACATTTTGGGTAATTTTCATACTCATATTCCAAGAAATCGATTTTATACGAATTTTTAAAACTTAATCGG